GCAAGTTGTCGTCGCCCTTTAATATTTCCAGCGGTGTGAGACAAGGATGTCCGCTGTCACCTTTCCTCTTCAACTTCGCTATTGACGAAGTCATGGAAATCGCGTTTACAGTACACGACTTAGAAGGTGTGGATCTGCTCCCAGGAGAACGACTTCTTGACTTAGAGTATGCTGATGATATTACCATAATCTGTGACAGCTCCCAGACGTGCCAAGCGGCACTGGACAGATTAGCACTAGCTGTCCGTCACTTCGGGCTTTGCTTTGAACCCTCGAAGTGCAAACTGTTCCTCCAAGATTGGTCTGGACCGCTTCCTACGCTGACCCTTGGTGGGGATAAGCTAGAAGTCGTTCAAAAATTCAACTACCTTGGAAGATGTATCAGCGCCCCTGGGATTGAAGCTGAGATCAGGAACCGTATAGCAAAACCTCGGGGCGCTTTTGCTAACCTTCGCCACTTATGGCACCGGCGCGACATCACTCTTGCCCTGAAAAGTAGTGTATAGGGCAACGGTACGTTCGACCCTACTGTACGGTTGTGAAACCTGGCCCCTTAAAACAACGGACCTGAAGAGCCTAGTTACGTTCGACCACCGGTGCCTTCGCAATTTAGCTCACATCTGGTGGGAACACCGCGTGAGCAACCAGCGTGTCCGACGCCTTGTTTATGGCACAGGAAAAGGAACTGAACCGCTCAGCACCGTTATTTCACGCACCAGACTCCGATGGCTGGGCCACGTGTTGCGCATGCCAGCCCACCGACTTCCACGACGGGCGTTGTTTGCGCGCCGGGGGTGTGGATGGAAGAAGAGGAGGGGTGGCCAAGCGATGACTTGGTCCAGAGGAATGAAGGCCCTCACTTCTGAGCTGGTCTCGGTTGGAGCGTCTCGGCGCCCTGGTTGGGGTCCGAAAGACGATGAACACGTTTGGCTGGACATACTTGCTGACATGGCTAGGAGCCGATCTCAGTGGCATTCGTGCTGTGAGTTTCTTTGTCCCACCCCATCTTTCTTAGCCTCCCCCTCCAACCACGATCTCATCATTTAGCCCTATATAATTTTGCATAGTAGTTTTTTTGATGCACAGTAGCCGGCTGGTAGCTTACCGGAACGATGCCCATCCGTTACCGGTAGCTCAGCCAGCTTGCACCAGTTGCATTTTTTCCTCTCTTTTTTGTATGCATTGCGGCACAGTAGCTGAAGTGTTTCCCACCTCTAGCTAACGTGTATGATGATGATGATGAGGAGGTACATTGCCAACACCCATATCAAGTAACCAACATAGGACTTGAGGGAAAGCAGACACGTAAAAACTGACACAGAACATGCAGTAGAACAACAGAATTGAACAAAGCAAATAAAGGATGATGACTTTCATCCAGATTAAAAAGAGCTAGATTGAGCGCAAGTTAGTTTAGCCCAAGTGGGGCGAAGAAGTATCATGAATGCAACATCAACCTCAGCGTACCTACAATATTCATATACACATAGATCCAGTATATTGCCGGTAATTTTATCTTTATGTACCATTATCTATCAACTCTGTTGGTAGTACTATGATCATGCGTATACAGGCGTGTCACGCGTTGTCGAGAATAAAAAATTTATTTATTTATCCAGAGGTATCCGCGAATCGTCGAAACACCGGGCTGACCGCTTGTCAGTGGTTTAACTCAACGCGACCGTGCGCCCTCGCCTGAGAAGTCGCCATTTAAATTTGACCACACAATATAGTCGGTTTGGATATCGCCCGGAGTGTCATCTCCTTTCGTGCATTCCACCTAAGTGACCGTCTTACAACTTCCAGTATTTCCGTTGCTAAGCTGTCTGAATGCAAAAAGTGACTTGGCGATGCAGTACTTCACTCATGTTACGTAGTTTACTAAGCCACAAAGTCGCGCAACTAAACTGTGTGTGCATGTGTATATGCGGCACACGATAACTGTTAATTTTTGACACATCCATTGTTAAAGAGTGAAATGAGGGAGCTGGATTGAAGTCGCGAACGAAATTCGTCACAGCCGCACACCCAGTCGTCAGATAGGCACTGCATATGCGGAGAACCACCACTGGACGGTCGTTTCATACTCCCGGAAGCCAGCAGTAATGTGTCCGCTGCGAAGCCAGAACATGCGAGTTTACGTTACGCACTTACGTAATCGAGACAATGAATCAGGGGGGGGGATGAGAGGTATTCACTGCGACTCAGTAATTGGCTGTGATGCAGCGTGTTTTGCTGATCCTCTCCACTGCCATGCGTATTTCAAACGTGCAGAGGAAGGGTTGGCACCCTGAACCACTGCACCATTTCTCGGCCAAGTTGTCGTCTTGGGTAACAGAATTAATCTGAGGGGGTATCCAACATGAGTCTACGCAATTAATTTGAGAAACAAAGGCCAAGCTGGTGCATGGGTCAGCGACACTATCCCTGGTAGGAGCTGAAGCGTCCCACCTGCACCCCTATGACCTAGTACGTCTGAGGTCCGATTGGCTGAAGGCGACGGGCTATACACGCACACCTACACACCTGCACAAGTGACTGGCGTACGCACGGAACAAATTAATTGAGTAGACTCATGTTGAATGCCCCCTCAGATTATTTCTGTTGCCCAAGAGGACAACTTGGCCGGGAAATGGTATAGTTTATATGCTAGACGACTCCCACCGTCCGATAGCACGCTTGCAAGTTACTTTTGTCAACTGCTAGTTTTTGGAGAGTGGTGAAAGGTGAGGCTAGAATGAAATTTGGAGGACAACCACACTCAGTAGGGCTCTACTTTTAGGTGACTAAACATTTGCTATTTGACCCGTAATGAATTCCAAGTCTCATGAATCGATAGCCTGGCAATGTGTGATTGGTGGTGGTGGTGGTATTCCCGCCAACTTTTCGTCGGTTTGCTCCTTTCGGATCTCCAACTACAATAATAATAATACTCATGTTTTCGCAAGTTATGCCACTATGGACCACTCTATATTCCGTTTCGCGTTTGCAAACATCGCAGAAATCCACATAACAGACCAGTGAAGCTATGGTATGTGGCTAATTAAGAGAGGTGAGCTCATACGTGTTGACTAACTGGTGGAGTGCGAAAAGCAGCGAAGTAACACACCGATCAACAAAACTTGATGCCCGAATGGATTAAGTGTAGCCATTGAACAAAGACCGTTTCGATCTGTGGCGGAGGGTTGGTGGTAAGATGACTTTGATCAAAACAGGTACAGCGATCCCTATCTAGTGCTATATATATATATATATATATATATATATATATATATATATATATATATATATATATATATATATATATAGACACTGAACCATCGAAAAACCATGAGGAACAAAACATAAAGTACGAATGTCAGAAACAGAACAAAAATCTTGGGTATTTTGATATTTGTTTTTTTGTCAGTTTACACACGCCATTTTGTACCAAATCACATTGTTCAACACATTCCAATAGACAGTCCTTCCATTGATTCCGGTTTCGCGCCATATCGTCAAGTGTGTCGAGCCATTGGCAGTCCACCTTGGGCTCCCAACCAGGAAGAGGCACAGGACTAGCCACACGAAAAGGCCCAAACAAGACAGCGGCAGATTGAAAAATAAGTTGGAACTTGACCAAGTCGAATGGTCTCCCCTTAGAAACTCAATATCACTATTCGGACCTAATTCCATCTTACTCAGCTAATAATTTACCTTGTATTACAGACAAATGCTTTCTCAAAGATTGTACGTTCTTACAAAGTGCCGGCCCTTAGCCTTAAGGATCATAAGTCTGCCTTGTAATCGGAGGTGGAGGGTCCGAGCCTGCGTAAGGGACTGGGCGCCCCTTACGGTATCCTTAGCCCACACGTGACTAGTCGTCTTTGCAGGCAGCGGAGCGTAGGTACTGCGTACTGGCGTACTGTTGATGCCATTCTTTCCATGATTGCATAGTTAGGCAATTTTATATCCACCAGTCTATTGATAAGTTTACCGCACGTTTTGCTACCGCCGTTGGATGACCATACACTGGAAGATGTACATTCTATCGAGCATATTGTGCTGATTTTCAGAACCATGTTGGCTGGGAAACACTACAGTTCTTTGGTCCAACTGTCTCCTGCTCAGTCTAGGTTTCATAGCCTATAATATTCATTCTATAAACTCCGTACGAAGTGTTCGGATTTAGCTTAGTTTCAACGTTACGCCAACTGTGATTAACTGGTTCAGTTCAGTGCCACTTAGTTCACGCGTAGGTGGTATACACATTTTTATTGTTGATCCACTTACGAAGTGGCAAGTGTAATCGAGTGTCGCAATCAGCGGGACGTTGGTAAAAGTGAGACAACACCACATGTGTAAACTAATCGGGATGGAGTGAAAATTAACAGCTAGATGCAAAAAATCGAATATAGGAGCGCCATTGATCATGCCACTCTTGATAAGGTGTTCAACCATTGCTGTGAACCATCTCGAGATCTTCCCCATCTACGAAAACGGCATGGACCAGTCAATTTTTTCATGCCTTTTATGCCACGTTATCAAGTGGCCACCTCGCGGATTCGCCCAACTTGGTGCAGTCAAGGCCTACAATGCAAGTCGGGGAAACCGGTCAACGGAGGACATGAGATAGGCAAAGTGAGTAGTTGGGCTTAAGCGAACATTCGAGTGAGTCACCAGAGGACGGACATCTGCGCTGATCAGGCGGTCTCCACCAGATGTGAGCGATACTCCGCAAGCACTCGTGCTTAAAGATGACCAATCGTTTAGCGCGAAGTGGTCAGGAAGTTGACCGATACAGCAACACTGGGATTGCGGCAGCGTTGTACACTCTAACGTTTACTAAAAGACAGGTATCGTGCCGCTACCACAAGTAGTTTAGGCAGCGGAAAGTAAGCTCAGAATTTCACAAAAGCGAAGCAATCTTCTCACTGATGTGACCACAGGGAGTGATACCAATACGGAGGTAAGTGAAATGACCGCGAACAGAATGTGGATAAACGTTGGCAGATGTGAGCTCACGTGCTCAGTTGGAATCCAACAAAATTGCGAATGTTGTGGAAAATTGATTTTCCTTCTTCCATGGCGGCCAAGATAGTTGCGAAGTTGTCATCCAACAGGACAATATCGGACGCCTCGCGACAAACGTCGGTTCCGATGTGCCCCATGGCAATGCCGATGTCGGACGACTTGAGAGCTACGGCGTCGTTCACACCGTCCCCAGTCATCGCGACAACAAAACCGCATTGCTGAAGAGCCTAAAATGGAAAGGATGGAGCAGGTAACGATAACACTGATGTATAGTGCAATAAAAAGTGGAAAAACTAAGTCTATGTTTGTTACTGAATGTGAGATGGATGTGCTGGACGGCGACACGAGTTACAGCCCGGTAATGCTTGCAAGTACAGGCAAACCTAGCTAAGGTGATCACTCAAGGAACCGACAAAAAGTGGCCGCCTTGAACAGGTGGTCGCCATGGACAGGTTCATGTGTAGGGACATAGAACAAGGATGACCACGTTTCAAAAATGAGATCTATTTTGGGGGGTAGACGAAAGTTGCTGATAGACGGGACACCGGAGAATAACATTCTGGTGGAGAAGCAGGTCGCCGAAAAACTCTAGATCCTTTTGCTACATGGATACATCATTGTCGCAGCACAGGCAGCTGAGACCGACTGGGATGCAGACACGGAGAATGAGGGGCGCACCTAAGTTACACAAGCCAGGTAACCCACTGCGTCCGATTATGTGCACGAACAACTCGCCTTATCACAACGTTGCCTGGTGGCTGGCGAAATTCAAACGCCGTGCGTAAACTCCTGACTACGCACTGTCTGAAAGACACATTTGACTTCTCACTGGGTTCAGAATTAATGTACTCTATTGACGTGAACTCTCTATTCACAAACGTGCCACTTCAAGAAACAGTTGACCATTTGTGTCATTACATCCTGAGTCAAAACATGTATGTGGGTCTCCCTGTGGAATAGTTGAGAGATATGATTCTACTGTGTACAGAAAATGAGTTTGAGGGGAGGGGATATAAGCAGATCGACGGAGTCGCCATGGACAGTACTCTGGGACCGGTCTTGGTAGATATCGTTCTCGGCTTGATGGAAAGACAAGTCGCTGCCAGTATTGGTGAAGCAAGGTCATCCAAAGGGTATGTAGATGACATTCTGGTGTTCACCAACAGCGAACATTTTACTCGCCTGTTAACCACTCTAAATTCAATTCAACCCAACTTATCGGTCTCCGACGAGATGGAACAACACGGCTGCCTGGAACTTTGGGATATCCGCATTAAATCTTCGACGAATCACGGGCAATGCTGATTTTCAACACAGCAAATATTCCCATTGTAATCAAATGAATCAAGATCAGAAAACAGTTCAGGGTTAAGATATCCACATTAAGAGACGGGACGGAGGTACATTGCGGCGCATCGTTTACCGCAAGGCAACCTGGAGTGGGCAGTATCTTCACTTTTCTAGTTTCACCCCAGTTGCATACAATCGCCGCCTAGTGAAAATGCCGTTCTAAATGGCCAGACGAATTTGTAGTCCGGAAACGCTGGAATCTGAAGAGAAATTTCTGCATAGGACCTTGGTGTCAAATGGTTATCCTGAAAAGTTCATCCAAGTGCACAGCAAACTTGCGGCTGCCACTGCAACTGCGACGAACCCTCGAGGAACGTCGTAACGCAAAAACATGCATCAAAAGCAGTATGATACGGAATCGATGGGGCTGACAAGGTATTCCCCTCCTGCTCTCTACAACTCAACGAAGGAGGAACTCAATTACTCCCCAAAAAGAAACTGCCAGTGCTAACGGAGGAGAAAAAATGAAGTTTATCTGTTCCTGCCCTTCAAGGGTGACCATGTGGCAAATGACATCGGACACAAGCTCAAGTCCGCCGTAACGCGCACGTACACGACTGTCCCGTTGCGCCTCATGCACACTACGCGGAGATTTGTACTTCATGACCACCAGAGCTACTCTCCGGCTAGTTCGGCCTCTCATGTGGTTTATCAGTTCACCTGCAGTTGCAGTGACGTTTAACTAGG